AAATTGATTTTAGATCACGGCTGTTATTAACGCTTTTCATAAAGAAAAGTTCTCCGCTCGTCAAATAGCGAAGAAAAAATGCAGATCTCAAAGTCGACAGTTCAAGATACCATCAACTGTTTATTTCACTTAATGTTGAGTTGCTAATTTTAGTGGTGTTTGAAAACTTTTGACCGACTAAGTGAATATCGCGTATTAAGCTAATGAAATCCTCTCGAACCGACAAATCTTTTCACCATTGAAAAGGAAGAGTTCCATCGTGTCTCATCGAAGTGAAAATAAAGTCTCCTTTCGAAGGAAAAAGGAGTACGATGCCGGTTTTTCTCACGACTTGCGCGCGCGCGCGCGTGCAAGCGATGAGCTCGTGAAATTAGGCCCCGAGCCGAGGTCTCGATACTCTCGAGGGAATGCTGACTTTCATCGCCCGGAGCTCTCGGACAGATGATGTACCCACGTGTCCACTTTCGTGGATCGCCAAGACCCACCTCCGGCACCTCTTTTCTCCCTCCTCGGACGTAACACGGCGAGGCGGTTGAAGAACCGCAAGTATCCATCGCGACTTCCTGCCGCGTCGAGATTCGTACTTCCTGATAAAACAGCGCACGTGCACGAGCCACAAAAAATGAATGCGCGATCGTTACGTTGAGCTGGCGGTGCTTGCAGCTCGGTGCGTGCAGTTACGAGTAACTTCCGCGCCTCTCGTTACCGCTGTCGGTTCAGCGCGCGATTTGGAATTGTAAAAACGAGAATGAAGCGCGATTATTTCTGGCATATCGCGCGCGCGTAATGCGCTCGCGCTATATCGATTTTCCTTTGCTGCAAGAAACACGCGTGACTGTGACAAAAATAGCTGCGACACTGGATAATTTGCATTAATAAATGGCGCAAGTAGCTATTGAATTAACGTCATCGACGTGGTGCACTGAACGTCGTAAGGACATTTACAGACGGTGACCGTGACCCAACATCCCTTTCGAATTTATCTCGTCCTTGAAGAAAATACGGTTCGTTTCACTGTTACTTCGACGAGAGCATGACAAATATATAATGTCACTGATAGACTTATAAAGTATAAGTTATACAGTAAATTACGAAATTATGAATTATTGATTTTTCGTTGATTTTTGGAGCAAGAGTTAAAAATTAATTTTTCAATGTTCTCCAAAGAAAAGCGTTTTGTTCTATTCCTTATAGCGAAACTTCTCTTTAGCAAGTTATGTTAAAAAAAAATTGTGGTTATCTCTCAGCGTTGCGCGTTGAATGGAACAACCATAACTTCGTGACTGACTGAACCGGTATCAGGCGGACACACGCAAAAGAACGTCCGCCGTTGCAATGTTGAACGTATGTAAGGACGTCGTCATAGGGTGTTCCTTATTAAACATATTTTCTTTAAGTCACTCTTCGCTTTATAAAAACGTTGAGACGTCTGTAGTTTGCAAGTTATATAAATAATAGAAAACGAAAGCTTTCCGAGAAAGAATTCTGAATCTAAGCTTCAAAAGAAAGGAAAACGTAACAAAAGCGTATTCCTTTCGTTCAATTTTAATTTGAAGCTTAGTTACGAAGATATGTAATGTATTGGAAAGTTGGAAATGTATATGTAGGAAATGTTGAAATTGGAAAGCTACGATAAACGATGAGCTGCCTTGACATTTTAAAGCAGGATCAACTCAGAATTGTCCGAAGAATCTGGTCGATTTAAAGAAAGTGGTCACCTAGTGACACCCTATATATGCACACCTGTCTAACGTTATTACGGCACGCGCTCATAAATAAAATGGAAACTGCGTCGAAGGAATTCATCCCTTACACGGCGTCGTCGACGATTGCGCAAAACGATTCCATACGCTGGAAGCTGTTTCTGCAGCACGCGTCAACATCGCGGCACGGACGCCGCCCTGTTTTTCTACTGTGAACGGAGAAAGTCCGGCATACGAGAGCGTATAGTAATGAACGTTAGGAGAATAGAGGTCCAGGAAGACATTCCGCACTAATATCCTGTTCGCTCGGGAATCCGCTGGATACCACGCGCATGACCGAAATCGAATTTTTTAAAATGAAAGATAGAAAACAACTCAGACGAAAATAGGTGATTTTAACGGACAAAGATTCCATAAAGATGAAAAGAAATTTATGATTAAGACATACATTCGGAGAAGAAAATTTGTAAGAGTCTCTCCTTTTACCGCGTTACACCGTCTTTCCTTTGACCGTGTTCTCAATATCTGAATATTCTCCCAAGGCTAACAAAAAAAGGCAGCAATTTCAATTTAGAACCGCTCGTACTAGTACTCATGACTGATTGTGAGCTTTCCAATGAGATACGTTCATTGTTATTTTACACACTTTCCCTTTGCGTGAAACTTGATGCTGCACGTAGGCGGCGTTTTGCTTTGACGAAATCTGTACCGTCCCTACAGGCGTCTTCAATTGCAAGACGAACTACGCGTTAAATTTTTCTCGGCGTCGATGGGAATTGCGCCAGCAGTCGTCGCAATTACCCAATCTCGGCAATTTGCATTTCGTCGTAAATCAAACGATCGACGTGGAATCGGAATATAAATGCTTACATAAGGAAAAGTTTGCCGTTACATTATCACGCTATTATTTATTCTTAAGTATTACGTAGAAATAGAATTATAGCAAATACGGAATTTCTCAAGATTGCAAGAGCAAAGTACCGGAAGTATCAAATAGAATACCTATTCATTCGCCATTCGACTATAACCGGCGATTTGCGCCTAGTCGTAAATTTCGCCGTGCGTTTCATTGAACGCCTCGAGAATGATTTAGCCGGTGGAAAATCATTCGCAAACGAGTGGTCATTTCGTTCGCCACCCGAATTGCGCCATAAATCTTATTGCTATCTGTCGTCTAGGATCCACGTCGCGTTTTCCGTAGAGAAATCTCAGTCGTAGAAAAAAAACACTCTGCTATCTTGAGGAAATTACTTGACGCGCTAGACGCACGTAGATTCCTCGAAAAAAAAATGCTAATCTCTTGAATATTGTGAAAAATAAATTAACGGCAGATCCGTTAATGCGAATCTCGACAATGTTTTTATAATTCGAGATTTTGATTCGTTCACTCTGTAATTTATCATTAAAGACAAGATATCGTTACTTTTATGACTTCAGCGAAAAATTCTGCAAACTCTCTCTTTCTCTTCCTCTCTGATACCTATGATTTAAGTCATGAAGTTTTCCATGCGGATTTATTACGCAGGATCGTATTTCATATTCAGGAGCACCGCGAATGTGACTCTCGCGATCTATCGGAATCGAGAGACTCTCGTTAGAGGAGATCTTTGGTCCCTCGATCTCTCCTATTTCGCAGGAGTGAATGTGAGAGCCGCTCGCAGAACTAATGTCCGCAAGGCCAACCGCCACCGATAAAAATGCTCAGGATAACGCGCCCTGCTCGCTCGATCCCCGATCCCAATCTCGATCTCGATCGTCTCCGACTCGTTCGCGTCCAAGTGGACGAAAACCAATGCGCGTCTGCATCATCGACAGAAATACTTTATATAACTGATTTCACTCGAAGATATTTGACTGAAGGTGCCCTCGTCTGATCGATTACAGAATCGTAATGGAATTTTTAAAAATCAGATCTCGCGGTTTTTGATTCGCTACCTCATTAAATTTTATTGCAATTTAAACGTACAAGCAATACACACGATTGGTAGTACAGATAAATATAAGATCGGTAAATATATTCGACATATAAATCATCGCGCATATCGCATTTCTAATTATACAAACGTACGATGATATGTTGTTAATGTGAAGAATCGTTTAATAACAGCTTAATAACGTTATGTGATGAGAATAAAAGGAAACGCCGATTTAAATACGCCGATAGGTGATAACCGGAAAATCAGGCTTCGAAATGCAGCGCAATAACGGCGCTTTTCGGGGGCACAACCAGAGAAACGTATAGGTTTGTCTGGATCACCGATACTAGATCGCGGTATCGAGCGAGCGGATGCTTGTATAAAGTACACGCTACTGAGCACCATAAGCCGCGCAAACCGTTATGCGGTTTATAACACATAAAGCGTAAGTGATGCCTCCAATGTGTTTCCGTAAATTTGCACAATTACCGGTTTTACGTTAATTAAAAATTACCATCGATAACATCTCCGATATAAAAACCGCGTGGGTCTTTAAATTTTTTATTTTTACAATAACGAGAAAGAATGTTCTTTTATGGAGATTCTATAAAAGAATCACACACAGTTACACACACAGAGAACTTGCAATTCTTTGGGAACTTTTATCTACGCGTATTTTGACGCGGGACGCATATAAAAACGTCAGACCTCACCTCATGCGTTTCATTCATAAAAACAGGCACTGAAGAGCTGCCGCTTCTTAATTTTTCGTTCGTTACATCGCGCACATTTTTAATTGCGAGCGAGAAGAAAAAAAGAACTAGTCACGCGTCGGCTCGTTTCTGCCGAGCCTAGCGTTGCACAAGTCGTGTGTACGGGTAGATGTCCTGTTAATGGAAAACGCCGCATTATCTCTCAGGTGAACGCGGAAGAACAGGTGTTACAAAAGAAATTATCACGTGCACGCGCCGTTTCCGTGTTACGACGAGTAGAGTAGATTTACTCGTCTGGCCGTTGTTGATCGTTAGTCAAACGCGTCGACTTCGCTGTAATGAATTGATTAAAGGCCGATAGAATGAAAGTTAAACAAATCCCATAAAATACGCAACGTGACATTTACGCGTACGATTATTACCTACGATAATTACACGCGCTCGGACAACGCGATTGTTTATTGCACTTGCAAAACAATTCATACAGCTTTATACAACTTTATGAACTTCATACAGCTTTACGTGTTTGATTAAAATCCCAGTCTACTTCATTTTGCATCTATTATTTTATTTCTATTACTTAAAACACTTTTTATTATTTCTATCATTTAATACACTTTTTGCTGTATCAGTTCTCTGGCATTCAAAAATTTTAACGTCAAACTCACCCTCGGATCGCGTCTGGACCGTGATTATCAGCAGAAACGCTATAGGCAGAAGTAATTTCGTAAACCAAAGCCTCCACATGTCGTCGCCCATCTGTTCGAGGTCCCTCGGAGCGACAGCACTTTGAATTAGCCCAAAGTCACGAGGAAGACGCGCACTCTCTCACGTAAACCAATCTCCCGCGCTGTCGTATCGGTACTGACTTGTCCGTTACATGAGCACCAAAGCGATCTCGGGGCGGCAGTTCCGGCGAACACCTCGCGACCAACTTCCGCGACCTCCGATTAGTATTGCGGAAAAACGTGACGCAAGAAACAAGTGGAAATAAGATAGATTAAGGAAAGAAAAAAATACGAAAGGAGCGACCGACAGACTGATGATTCCAAACGGTATCGCCGTATGATAAAATAAAAACACCTCTTTACACCGGGTAAGAATAACGAGAGCTCCGTGCGACGGAGCGGCCGACCGATTGACCTTTCTCCGGGTGCGTAACTTTGTCTGTGTCCCGGTGAGGACTGAAGGGGAACCAAGGCCCGCCGCCGGGTGTTGGGGAACCGGAGAAAGGTGTATCAAGAGAGAGAGAGGCCAGAGGCGAAGAGCGGGTAGGACCCCTCTTCGCCGTTCTCTCCCTACCCTCTCGACTCCTTTTCCCGCTCCTTCTTCTTCCTCTTCTTCTTCGTCTCCTGGCGCTCTCGGTTGGTCGGCCAGCCGCTCCGGGACATGCGGCACCAAAGAAACCTCCTCGCGACCGACTCTTCAGCCAGCCCGGGTCCGTCTTGTGCCATCCACAACGGCGAACTTTCGCGGACCTGTTCTGTAATCTTCGTAACCTGCATTACGCCGTGCTGACAATATGTTCTTAAAGATTGGCGAGGATAAAAAAACGATCGAACAAATGGATCTTTAACGTGTTGATCTTTGAATTATAAAGAAAAACTATGACTTGCAGCAGGTCAAGATAGATCCGGCATATCTTTCTTCTTTGCCTTCTTCGCCTTCTTCACCTTCTACGGCTCGTGCCACCGATCGATATATACCCGGTATATCCGGTATACCCGTTAACTGTCGTAGCTGCATTGGGCAGATGTAGCGCGTACTGTTATGGAAAACACTGTTGCCTTAGATTGACAGACGAGACGTAGACAGACGTACAAGATAACATTAAGTCAAATATAAGTTCAACAGTGGTATCGACACTGCTGTCTTGACAGCAATTATAGATGAACAAAAATGTACAAAAATATTTAAGAGTAAAACATGTAGATTCATTCCAGCTTATAAGCGAATTCGATTAAAGTCGCACTGCATCGTGTTACATGCGAGAACAGAGAGATTTGAACATTAGAATTGTCAATGATGCGCAACATCTCTCGACATTTTTTGCGGAGTCGTGATTCGTTGATGGCCATTTTCACGCGAATCAATATCGGTCCATTCTCAAATCAAATCTCCATATTCATGACAATAACGTCAATATTGGGAAAAAAGCATGACACTAGGACACTTGTCCTTATAACTGCGCTTACTGTGCGGTATGCGGGACACCTGTTATCGTGCTCTCAATGAACTCCGAAGGTTGGTGGGGTTAAAAGGAGAGGGAGAAGTGTACTGTTCCCGAAGAGTGTTTGCTGTATGAGGCAGCAGTCGAGGTAGGAGGTTCGCATTATAGGTGCCGACCCGAGGACCTACATTCGCCAGCGCGGTGAGGGATGCCGCGATCGCAGAGGAGACGTGTAACTCTTCTCTCTCCTTTCTTCTTCTTCTCTCTCTCTCTCTCTCTCTCTCTCTCTCTCTCACTCTCCGGATCGAGAAGACCCCGTCTCCCGAAGTATTCGTGTCGGCGCTGGCCGACTGACTTAACAAGTGATTTTCGAATGCCATACCGCCGAGATTCTTCTGGAGAAATTATTGTTCGCGCGTCCACATCTCCCCTTCCCGTAATCGCGCCTCTGCGAAAAATCTTTCCTGTAAGCAACCACGCGCGCGAATCGAGGAATTGAATAATTAAGCGATAATGGCCGGTTTCTCTATCCGCATAAACAACAGTGACGTGATCAAGCTATAGAGAAAGAAAAAAAGATTGAAGGACGATGAGAAGGGAAATGAGCGAAGAATAATTTCTTCTCTAGAATTGCTTCTTCTCTCTATCTCTTTTCCTCTCTTCTGCTTTTCGTTTTATGTTAATTTCAACAAACGTTATGCAATGCAGGAAAAGAAACTGCCGATATCTTTACGGAAACAGGTTTAATCTTGCCTTTGTTGCTTTAAAAATATCATATTTTTCTCTCGATTAGATCAGTACGATTTCTCTCTTGACAAAAAGCCGCGTTCGACTTAGAAATCTATCGTAATATTGCAAAGGGAAATTACAAATAATTAAATTACAGCTGTAAATTACGAAGAGCCCAGAAGTTATCACGGTAATGAGCAATTTGTAATGGGCAAAGAAATTCTCTCGCTACTGTGGAAACATAAACAAGGCAATTCGCGATTCGTTATACGTAATTTTGAAGGGAACAGTAGAGTGCAGGAGTTTCTTCGCCGTGAGTTCTGCGTGATTGTGTGGCCGTGGCTCGTGTACAAGATTACCGTGACATTTCCTATAAAGAATCGCGCGCGCCATTAAAGTCATTAATAACCGATCCGTCGATTCCGCGCGGCACGCAGGCTATTTTCCTCTTCCCGTTTTCTCACCGGGAAAAGAGAAGAGGCTTTTATTGCGCCACACGTCGTTGCGGCGGCGGGATAAAGATATAGCGCCAATAAAGTCACGCACCGTGTCCTCGTCGAACGCGGAACAATCCAATCGAACAATTACTCGCGTGATCGAGGAGTCGGTATATACGGAATAGTCCTTCACGATATGGGGAAGGAACACGGTTGTTCGTTAAGCATACAGATCGAATGTCGGAAACGAAATCGCCTCTGTTCGTAAAACCGAATTACAAGTTCCGTCCAGACACGTGCACGGTTCGTAAATCGCAGGAAATAATGTTACCTGAATCGTACAAGCTGCCGGGAATTTCTATGAACATCGAGAAAGTTATCGTCGGTCTCTCGATAATTACTCCCAGTTAAAAGTTATTTAGCTACGCCATTTATAAATCTCAATTGCATGCATCAGCAGTTTAATAGATATTCTTACACTTCATATAAATGGATATATTTCTTGCCAAGTGCACTTCTGCAAATTTTTTGATCAATTTTTTTCTGCTTTTTTTAAATTAAAATACTGAAGTATCCAAAAACTGTTGTGTAAATAAAAGATAGAAAGGCTTTTTTGATAGCTGAAGACTTTAGTAAGAAACAAAAAAGAATAAAATCATATTCTTTAATTAATAGCTAATTTCAAGTTTAATAGACTTTACTTTGATAAAAATCCTAGTTTGAAAGTAAAAATTAAAAATTGATAAATTATATTCTCCAATTTAACAAATTATTTTTCCTTCGAGGAAAAATTAACTTGAAAATTGGCCGAAGAGTCTGCAGTTCAGAGAAAATGCGTTTCAACAAAAGGCGCCCTGCGTGTAAGATATCATATCGTTTCAATGAGATATCGCCTTCATTCAAGATGCATCATCAATTATCGAATACCTTGGCGCACCGCTGCTCCACATGGCACCAAGTTCCAAGGATGCCTAGAAGAAGCGAATCACTATTACGGGGCGTTATAGTGGTTCCACCGTTAGGCCTCGCCATGCACCATCAACCGCCGCAACGTCGACTAATATTACGTTTACTGGCGTAAAGCATCTGCCATTACCATCCACCGACTATCGGCTAGCCTTGCATAATCTCAATACGGTTATGTATACTGTTAGTCCCGAGCAGATGTTCGTTCGCGAGACCATCCTTGGAGGTCGGATTGCAGATGTGCGAGCGGGGATGCCCGAGGGCTAAATTAATGGATTTTGGCGAGACACTCCTAGAATTATTTAAAATTGGTTAATCGAAAAAAGCTTTTAAAATCTCTTATAGTCCGAGACTTCAAGACTCATGAATAAAACATTAGATTCTTGAACCCCTCCCCCTCTCTCCCTCCTCCCTTTCCCCTCCTTGATTACTGCTCCGCGTACAGTTAGGCCGATCTTAGGGAAACGAAGATAGATTTACGTGTTCTCCAGTTATTAACCTTGCGGTCAAGCGTCATTAGAAGGTACGATGAGGTTGCGCAGTATGGGATTACCTAAGCAATTCTAATTCATATCCCACGTGACCACTATAGTGATTCTAATACCGAGGTACCTTCTAATATCGAAATAATAGACGTGGTCTGGGAGATGTTGCTAACACATAACAGAAGCGAGGATGTTTTTGCGACACGTTCGGGAAATTTATATAATCGTTTTTCCGCCACGTCGAGAACACGGTTGATTAAACAAAACGAACAAAGTGCGTAATAGGGCTCGCCTAAGATTCATTTTACATGAATTAAAAGTTGATCATCCTTTTATTATATGAAGGACTCGGATCGCGCCGATAATTTACGGGGCATGCCTCGCCAAACTTTCACTCTTACTCACGTGATCGTCGCCCTTCTCTCTTTCCGCGAGAATGATCTGCGGCCGTGCAGAGAAATTCTTTGCGGCTGCAATTGCTGTGTCGACAGCAGCTGCATAACGCACAGGAAGTCCTTGCCGTAAACTGGATTCCTGTGACTTGTCGATCGGACCGCTTGGAAAAAAATAATAACGAAAGCACTTTGTGGTGCGTCATTGATGCTTCTTGCCTACGAGATTTTCCATTCTCCGCGCCTTCTCGCGTACAGAAGTACATACACGCGGTAATTATCAACTGCTCTATACGCTCGGCTGGGTTTATGCGTATCCAGCATACCATCGCGTGATGGTACTTCATGACCGTACCGCTCACGAATCCTTCTACTTTCATCCGTGTACGTGTTTCCGGCGTATCAAGCAGAAATAGACAGAAAAGCGAGATGGGAGTAGTAATCCCTGTAAAAAAAAATGTACGCGTAACAAGAGATCGTACATAATCTTGAGATTAGGAAAATGATCAGGAAGCAATGTCTTTGCATGCTCTATGAGCATTGCGACAAGCGTATGGATGTAAGATAGATATGTATAATTTGTAAGGATTATTTCCGCATCTTACGCGTGATCAGGAATAATGTAATATCAAGAAAAAAGTCAAAAAATAATAGTTCCTTGTGAATTTTATGCTCAAAATCTTCATCTTGATTCAAGAAATGCTTTATATTACAATTTTAAAAAATTTAAAATTTAAATTATAAAAAAAAGGCGTTTTCTTTAAATGCAATTACCATAACTATACTACATAACAGGTTAAAAGATATCTATTCTATTCAAAACTAAATATCTTGTTAGAATCTATAACTATGAAAAAAATTACATTGTGAAAATTATTATTTGAAATTAATGCCACATTGTTAAAATTAAAATTATTAAAATTTCCGTGATTAAATTCTGTCGCATTGTAAAAAAAATTGTACCTAAATTGACAATCTGTCGAAGATTGAATTTGCAATTTTTTAAATTTAATTCGAATTAGTGCAACTTGCAGAATCACGTAAAAAGTGTTCTACTTTATTGTGTGATCTACTTTATTTTACATAGAATAAAATTTTTCTAAAACGTTACGTGCCGTAATTGTGAAGAATATGATAAAATTAAATTTCTTTTCTAATAATTTTAATCACAAATCTCTTGAAAGTTTGAAATGATGGAGTATTTTAGAAGCCAGAGTCCTATTTAACACAAACATTATGAAAATCGATTATTTCTTCCATATATATATATATATATATATA